ACATCTTGTAATTTCTTATTATTCAGTAAGAGAGTATAAATTGCCTGATATGACTATAAGTGTTTTGCACTTACTTTTTTCTACTTTCATCTCATATTTGTGTTTCAGATCTCTGGCAATGTCATGAACAGTAACATATTCAAAAGGAGCAATCTGCACCGGGTGATCATTGGTTGATCTCACAGGTTCTTGGTCAGTGACAAGATAATTAAAAGCAATTTCCCATGTATTTTGGAATAAATTGATGGTTTTTGAGTATAGGCAGATGCTTTGCAGTACCTTAAAACATTTTGCCTAGAATTACAGGACATGTTACAGATGCCTGTGTATCTGGTACCGTTTAAAAACTGGAACTGGCAATTCAATAATGGCTCCGGGAGGGGAATAGAACTTCTTTTTAGAAAAAATTTAACCGGGTTCCTTTGGAAAACAAAAACTCAGGTCAACAAAAATTGAAAGGTAAAAATTGGCTTTTTGGCAAGTTTTAAAAAAATGATTTTGAACAGTTGAACCCAATTGACCCTGTACAAAGACATGAGTATTTACAATTTTAAAAAACAATAGGGCAATTTTAAATTTCCCCATTTTCTATTCAGGGAACATTTCCCCGAGAATTTCCCCTCCTCGGGGCCATAAAAGAGGTGGTGATATTTGGATGTCCCCAAAAAAATGAATTTAAACGTTGTTCGTTTTTTGACCTGTTTATTTTTCCTAAATGTTTATTTTTTGTACGTTTATTGGGTTAAAACCGGAAAAGGGAAAGGGGGTTTGGGTTAAATGGGACGGAAGGGGGGGGGCTGTTTGAACAAATGTTGAGGGTGAGAGTCACAAGACAGGTTCAAAAATAGTATTAAATTTTCTTATTACATCCGTTTGGGTTTTTGCTTTTTTGGTTTTAACCTCTTTTCTATTTTCTTTTTTACTCTTAAATCAAAAGGAATTTTTGTAAATTTGGGATAGCTTCACCTTGGTATTGTTAGAAAAAAAGTTTTTTTTTTTTTAGCTTGCCTAACCACTGAAAAAAAGTCAAGTTTAAGCTGCCCCCTTTTAGACAGTTTATTTTTAAATTTTTTGAAAAACAAGCCTGCCCATAACCGTTCACAAAAAATTTTTTCGGCCTAAGGGAAAGTCCATTTAAAAAAAGCTGTAAAAGGTTACCAAACCACAACCAAAAAAAAGTGACGACCTCATTGGATCGTTGAGAACACTGAAGAATTCCGCAAAGTAATTCCTTGACGGGCAGGTTCACCAAAGTTAAACTCAAGTTTCTGAAAAATAGAATCAATAGAAACAGAATCGCCCAAATTAACTACAAGTCGCCTCGCTGTGCCTCTAAGGGAAGTCCTTATGGCTTGTTATACCTAGTGTTTAGGAATAGAAGAGTCTCTCATAAGACAACGTACTTCATGACCGCATTCATAAAAGGAGATCTCACCCTTAGCCAAGGGCTCATCACCAGAAGAAGGTTGAATCTTTGGTGGCTTTGAAACAATGACAGGAGTGTTTGGAGAAGTGAAAGAAAAATGACTAGGTGTGTCAGGTGGGACATGCAAAGGGTTGGTTTCACGGGGTGGAACTTTGGGTTTTGTACCAACATGTTCACTAATCTTTAGGGGTGAAAGTGTATTTGGTGGAGAGCATTTTCAGCATATCTTCTTCTGAAAGAGAAGTTTGTGTTTCACCTGTGGCACCTACAGTTTCATCCTTTGTAATTTTTTCCATATTTAAGCAATGATGTGGGATGTAAAATCAATGATCAAGGAAGGTGTATTGTAAAAAAAAAATGCTGAATTGAAACAAAAATGCAGCATAAAAAATTGCACCTAAATATGAATGTATAAGTTAAACTTATATCTGCCGCAACTCACAAAATAAGATGCACTGAAATGATTCTATTTGAGTTCAAGATCAATGTACTTATTTATAAATCAAAATAAAACTAATGTACTTTGACCTGTCTGAAATATTTAGTCAAAACATACCAGAGCTAGAAAAGCATGGAAAAAGCATGGAATGCTTTACATTTTACACTTAGGTGATTAATGAAAGTAGTACCTGACTGATAACTGGGTAAACAAAATACCTGTTAATATTAAAAATCAATCAACTGTATCGAAATGTGTATTTATGCAACAGGTTATTTCTAAAACTGAATAACTTTCTGTTAAAAAAAATTTGTCACAAGTATCTCAATAAATGAGCTAAACAGGACAGACTGAGCAATTTAATAATGTTGCAGGGGTGTTCAAAAATGTAAATTTAATGTATTGAAACTATGGATTGCTGCAAATGAATCAAATGAAATCAGCAATGACTTGAAAATCTTGATAATTTGTGTATTTTCAGTCAAATTTCCCTCAACACTGGAGAATAGACTGAAATTTCACAGTACTTAATGAAAAATGAAGGGTGAAGGATGAATATACACTTAATATGTACACAATAAAATACTTACATATAACACATATCACTCACAAACATGTACACATGAAATTGGACAATAAGAATTTTAATTGGCAGTGGAAACACAAATTTATCTAGCAATTCTTAATATCAACACAATAAACAACACCCTAAAGTTTTATTGTTATTTTTTTTTTTTACCACAAAGTCATAATTACGCAAATGATCTTTTATATATAACCTTAATTGTTTACTAGCACTATGAAACAAAGATTTATATGTGAATTCTTTGTGAAATATACCAACAAGTAAATATTATCAAGACATGTACCTGTATAATTCTCAAATGTAAGTCACTATTCAAATCTAAGTAAGAATGACTTTAAAATCTTTATCTAATCTGATTTTTCTTAATAGAAAAAAACCTAAGATTTAAAAATTCTAAAAAATGAAAATGTCAAACTTCAGTAATTATATATATGACTTGTCTAAAGAATAAGTGCTTTTTTTAAAGAAAATAATAGTTTAGAAATAAATTCAATAGAATGCACTTATATATATATATCAAATCTACTGATAAAAGTCTAAAGTTTAATTACCTCAACTAATTTTTTTTAATGTAAATAAACCAAATCACATATTGATAGAGATGAGCAAAAAAATAGTGCGTTTTCAGAAAAAATACGAAATAAACACAAAAGTACTTACATATATGTCCAATTCAAGTATCAAATAAACACAAATTATTAAAACACTATTAAAATATATTAACACAAAATATCACAAAAACACAGTTTATGTCCGAAAATCCTCCTTTTACATGTATCCTTCCACGCGTAAATATAAGAAAATCACTGTTTGTAATGTTGTACGCGGTAAACAGCTGTCATGGGCCCAGAGAAAAAAATAGAAGGGGAAAGTGCACTATGGAATTGGGGATATACCTATAATGTAGAGAGCCTGGAAACTGAAGGGGAACACTTCAGCTCCTGACTTCCGCAGAAAGGGTTGCCGGCGCTGTCTTCGGGGTGTCTGGATAAAAATTCACCACCACGGGTACAGTAGAACTGCCCTAACTGTAGAATCAGCTGATGGCCCTGGTTTTCTTGGTTACATCATTCCTTATCCGGGAGTCATTTTGTAGAGTATGGTTTGGGTACAATTCATGACCAACTCTGACTGGGTGTTCAATATTTATATTGATGATGTGAATATGAAACCTATAAAATGAATAAACAATTATAAATACATGAAATACAAAACACAAATTAAAATACAAATTCAATATCAATATCATTTCAACATTTCATATTTACACAATTCCAAGTATTTAATTATTACATTTCAATGCATTTCTTTTAAGTTAAATAAAGTTAAACATATCTTACCAGGTGCAACTGGCTGATCTCTGTTATATAAAATTATAAATATCAAATTCGTTCTATCAAGAACAAACGTTAAGTTGATTTATATAAATACGTACAATATTCAAAATGTTCTATGAAGAACTACTGAAGTTCACCTTACAATGCAAAGTATGAAAATGATTTCTTAGAAAAGGAATGTAAATTGCCCATGCATAAAATGATATGAAATCACTCTCATCCAATCACATTCTTACTTAACAAATATACAAGATATTTATTGGACATCACTTAACAACACAGGACATAACAAGAACATAACAAGAGACAGTTCACTGAGCATAGTAACTCACAACAAGAACAAGACATTATGCATAATTCCATAATGATGAATGAAAATGATGTCATGTGATTATGCCTGAATGAATGAAAATGTACAGTTAGTTATTCACTACAGTGATTACAACTGTGTTTGTAAATATAGGATGAGTATACAGAAAGGCAGTAAATTGACCTTATCTACACACAATTGTAAAAGTTCATGCTGTGAAGCAGCATTATGCTAGTTTAGAACATTTTCTGACCAATTTGATATGAAATCTATTTATATAATCAGTACGCTGCATTTTAATCATATGATTGATCCGAGATATAAATTGACCACATTTTTGTTCTCTTTTAGTTTCATTAATTTAGATTTTTTTCTATTAAACAGAAATTACTATGAAGTGATTTTAAATGCGTGAATTTAACACCGCTCAAACTTACAACGCTACCTCTATATTCTAAGTTTCAAAAGATTTCAAAATACTTAATTGGATTTTTTTAAACATTAATATTTTCCAAGTAAAATATATTTTGAAAAAGTTATATCAGCCTGCTTATGTACATTTTTAGTTTTCCCTCAATTTATCAAAATACAGAGCAATAAGCCCAGAAGCAATATGGTTGACACGCAAGGATTAGTCATTTGCTGTCAAGTTGAGCTGACTAAATTTTATTATTTCAAAAAAAGTCGACATTTTATGGTAACTTATCAATAATTGATATTTCAATATTTGATATTGACAAATGTTTAGATCAAAATATATAAAAGCTGCATGCCTCAAGATTTTTTCCGGATTTTCATGAACTTTTGTAAGTAAGACATTGCCGAGTTAACATAGAAAGTAATTTTTATATTGCAAACCACACAAATATTTCACGTAAATTTCCAGGTTACAATATGAAAGAAATACCCATATTGCGTAAGTCAGACAGTAGAAATACGGTGATAAATATTGCGAAAAATTTTTTTATTACATATTCAGTAATTTATTACTTGCATTGAGATTATTCTACTTTTCGTAAACTCTAAGAATAAGACTTTTCAATGAAAACCGCCATTTTTCACACAACGCTCATGCAGTAGTGGGTTAATAACACTGATGATAATGCATGCTCACCATAATATTGCATACTGGCTGTTATGGAAGCATTATTTAATCGAGCATTTACTTTGTAACTCCTGTAATTCGATATTCATATATTTTACTAAATAATAACAATGATATGCAATGTTACTATTTGTTTCCGATGCATTTCTTATAATACATAAATTTAGATACCCTTAACTTTTCAAAAAAATGCATATAGGGATTTTAAGATATTCAAACATAATCTCTATTGTAATTAAATTGTTCTCCTATGAGATTCGATAAAAGATCATTATGAGGACGGTAAAAGTTGTCCAACATCTTTCTGCTTTCTGGTAACATTTCCCCTGCTTTATGATCTTTCTTTCTTCTTGCATTAGCATGCAGATCTGGATTTGCAATCTTATTTAAGTCGTTTGCATGTAATGTCTCTGAAATAAACAGAAGGGTAACTGATCTTTGAAGCGTATGTATGCTTAATTTTACAAAAGAAAACATAAAATTCTGTCATTGCGTAGAACAATTGATGTACTTTAATCGTACATCATAAATAGAATAATAAAGTAACATATTCAAAGTTAAATTGAAAATCAATATCAATATTGATTTTTCGTCTGGTTTGAATAATGTTATAATGCTTTTTATTTTTTGGTATTTTTTACATAAAATTACTTTCCCGAGAACACAAAGTGAGTGTGTGGAATCTATTATTTGTGTAAATCAATTGTAGAGACAGTCATCAAACAAGTCTTTAAAATTGTTTCCTGTGCTTTCTTGACAAAAAGCTTAATAGAGTCCCATAAATATTTATAGTATGTTTAAATATGGTTCTAGACAATCTACTCATTGTTAATAACATGTTCGGATAGTTTTCACAAGAAAGTTCACGAATCAATTACCGGAAGTTAATTTATAAAAATATATCCTATCAACAAATACTTACTTATTTCTAAAAATGAAAATATTTGTTGCATATAAGAAGCTGTGTTTCTTGAAAAGTCTTCAAGTTTGATCACAAGTATCTGTTCACGTGGAAAAACTCGGAAATATTCTTTTAAATGTAGATGATAAACACCAATTCGAATTCTTACCTTAAAATACACAGTCATATCAACTTACGAACATATATAAATATACATTGTTTATAACATTACATATCTTATTGACCCATTGGACTAGTACATGTTTTAACAATTTAGATCATTTAGCAGAACATTGGAATTTTACCAAATATTATGATGACTTGACAACTGGCAGGGTTTGAAACTTACCTAAAACCCTGCTTGTTCCCTTCCCTGCGGTCTGGAGACCGCAGGGTATTGGTACGCGTTTAACTTTTGAGGCATGGAGGAGCACGTGACCTGTTTTCGGTACATGGAGGAGCATGTGATCTGTAAACCGTAAATGATTGGTTGATTGACCTTTTCGAAAACTTGGCTAAATACCGTTTGCCAGTACGTTACGTATAATCCTCTAGGGAATAAGTCAGAATTACACCTATTAAGAACAAAAAACTATTACGTGATATCTTTAATTTTCTATAATTATGTTACCGTTTAAGGTGGAAAAACTTGAATGATGTGTTTGAAAATTATCAATGTTTCTTTAATATGTATCTCAAAATGTTCTATAATTATGTTACCGTTTAAGGTGGAAAAACTTGAATGATGTGTTTGAAAATTATCAATGTTTCTTTAATATGTATCTCAAAATGTTACAAATAATAAATTGTTTTTACTGAAAATCTACAAAATTCAAATATGCGTAGTGGCATCTGCCATAATAAATAGAGATATTTTCTGCGAAAACTTGAGTGTTTGCTTTATTTATTTTTTTTTTGCTCGGAATTATTCATAAAATGGTAGGCATATTTAATCATTTTCTTAAAAAGAAATAATTGTTTTATGTTCGACTTTCTCCGGTCATCAACGGTCACAAGTTTCCAAAGACCTTATTCTATATTTATCGATTATTGTCAACTATATTCCTGATACATACGGAATATAATGTTGTAGTAGCTTTCTGAGACTTTGTATTTTGCTACGAGCAACGGTGGAACATTGATATCTCGTGAGACCGAAGGTCGAGCGGGATATCAATTTTTTAACGTTGCGAGTAGAAAAATACATAGTCTCAGAAAGCTACTACAACATAATTTTCCTTTTATTATACACCTTTTCGTTTTATTCAGAAAATGAAATGTAGTTGTCAAGAAATAAATTCATGACTGACGGATGAATAAGTAATTCTTGCAAACTTGCCACGCCTTTAATATTTTTGGTTCCCGTTTCCAAATGCAACGTTATACAAAGCTAAGATCGGAACCAACGTCAAAAATAGTCCGGCATTTCCATATATAGTACCGTATTTGTCACAAACATAATACGGAAATTTCTATCCGTTGAAGCGTATTTGCGCTTCAATATTTGCGTGTATTTTAGGGAGAAAATTTATAGGTATATAATAAAAACGTTTATTTGTCCCCCCCAAACAATGTTGAAAATAGCTAAATGAAATATCTTTATATCATTAAAAATGTTCCCCACAGGAAACCATTTTACTTGTACGACATTTGATAGGTAATACGACAAAACATTGACACATTATCGAATACTCTACAGGAAATACAGCGAGACGTTGAACTTTAACATATATCCTCTTATCAGGACACTCGGAAGGACAATGCTAGGTTCACTAACGGTGGAAAAATTACCCTTGGAAAGAAATAAGTCAACATTTCAACTAAGACAGATATCTGTATGTCGAATGGAAACAAGAACAACTTAGGCAAGGGTTCTACTTATAAGGTCACAATAACGAACAAGTTCAATGCTGCGTGTGTTTTAATTATTTCCAACACGTCGATTGCTTATTATTTAGGAAAATTGTTATTTGACATTCTCAAATATGCCAACTTGAGATTCCTCTAGATTACACATTGTTAATATCATTATGGATTGCATACATAAAAAATAAAACCTTATGGCAACTTCAAATGTTTCCTTATATTGCGAGTCAACACATAGAGACATGGAATTGTACAAGTAAAAGCAGTGATATTTCTAAGATTAAGAATGTAAATGGATTAATTGTTCCAAGTGTTGCTATTTCACGCAAAATGATGAGGTCGTAAGTACGATTTAATTCTAAACTTATTTTAATTGTTGCATTTATTTCTTTGAGTTCGCAAAGCATATCCTAACATTTTAACAAAGTAACCAGTGGTGGAAACAAATATCAACGGTTTTACTACTGATCTGAATCTAATTGTTTGTTTCATTTGACATGTTTTATGTTCAGCTGCATGTTCTGTCAAATGACGTGTCCTTCCGAGAGAAGAACATCCTGCTTAACATGGCGTGCCAGTTGGGGACTCGGTTATGTTTCCATGTCCAGCTGCATGTCTTGCCGAGTGTCCGACCAGCAGAACATTTGGAAACAAAAACACAAAAGACAATCATGTCCTACTTTACTTCCTGTAGAATATTCGAAATAAAATCCTTGCGCCTGCTAAATGTCTTAAATTGAAAAAATTAACATTCTGTCGCCAAATTTGATATCGAACTGTTATTTTTTTAGCATTCAATCTAAGCAGAATGTTCGATATTCCGATTTATTTCAGTTAAACACTATCAAACAGTAAAATATAATCAAATGAACAAAGAAAGTTACTAACGCATTGTAATCGGCGTTTTCAAATGTACGATTATTATCAAAGATATGTCAGAATATGCCAAAAAACAAGTACATTACGTGTCATGGAGGATAAATGCAATGCTACAAACATCAGTAATAAATTGCATAGACCATAATTATATATAAATTCTTTCTTTTTATTTTTTTATTTGCTTTGAGTTTTAGTACATTTCTTGTTCTTAAGATTATTTTGTATTTGACACATTTAAAATATTCTAATGGTGCATTAGTTGAAGTACGTGTGATATGTTCTGTTTAATCACTTACCATTATTCCAGTACAATCCTTAGGTGGTGTATATAAACAGTGACGTAAACTGTTGTTTCTCAAACAATTATAGGTATGTTTTAGTGTGTTCTTGACTCCTTCGTGAAACATCTTTGATCTTCCGTGTTGAAAATATAAATAATCCGAGTACAACCTTTAGTTGAAGAAACAATATTTCAATTTACATCACTGTTCTTGAATATGGTCCAAGGCATTAATTCGAAATTCAATTTTCTGTCAATAAAAGTTTCCTTATGTGCATGATAAATGCAATGTTAAACACTTTATCTAATAAATTGCATTCACTATGAATTCAACATTTGAATTGGATGAGAATAATGATAAAAGACAAATGATCAAGTGCCAGTCGTTTCGTGTAAGATCTGGCTATTATTGAAACTGTATCAATTTGAACGCAACATAAAAATACATATTGTTAGATACTAGACACAAACATAGTTGTATCTTGAGGTGTTTGAACAAACAAATCATTCCACTTATTAAATGATACTAACTAATATAATATTTCAAATTTTGTGTTGATAAAATGATAAAATACCAATTATGTTTCTGATTTTCAGGGGAGAAAGTGAAAGTCGTGTCAATGATTTGTTTGTGTTTGTTTTGTTTTTGTTTTGTTTAGGCGTAAAACATAGTTTGGTGTATAAAAGTGTGTCACTATAATTATATATTAATTTTGACAGACCTTTGACATGTTTTGAACTTGAAAATATATACATTAGTCATGTATTCAACCACTGAGAAAATGAAGAGCACTGTCCTTGCAAATAATTTAAACGTTTTCTGTCGTCAAAGAAGAAGCTTGTGATAGTTCAAGTAAATCACCCCCATCACAAAAAATAAAATCAAAAGTATTATTATAAATAAATTAATTAATTAAAATTAATTAATTTGTTATTAATTACTTAACTAGTAAAAATAAATAAAAAATAAATGAACAAAACGGAAAGGAACATTTTGCAGTATCCGTGTGTACGTCCGATCGTCTGTAATTCCACCCAAACTTTGTCTAGTCCATAGTTTCCGTTATTAATGGATAGTTTAAACTTGTATTGTTTAAATGTGTAGCACATTCGGAAAGTATCATTTAGTCTGGAGCTCAAAAGTCAAGGCCACTTCAAAGAAAATATTATTGTCCAATAAGCAATTATGTAATTCTAAAAAAAGTATGCATAATTACGTTGGGTATTATAAAGATTTGTCACATGCATGTATCAAGTCATTACCTTTAAGGTCAAGGACACGCATGACAAAAAGCCATGATTGTTAAGTACACCGATGTCCGGCAAATATTTATGTCATTCTGGAAGAATTTCTAACATAGTATGTACATGTACATTTTGTTGGACATAATGCCGATGTGGCATATGCATGCAGCAGGTCCGTACCTCAAAAATCAATGTCAAAATTGTATTTTAAATTTATGATTTAATTTTTGGTCAGTGTTCTGAGTGGTTCAGTCAACAATTTCTCAATTATTCTTTTTTAAATGGCATTAATTTGTAACACGTGATGAGCATGTGTCATGGCACGGCATTTCGACATTGTTGGTTTGATTCCCGACTGACAAGCTAAAATACTGGGATAATTTTTTTACTTTCATAAAAGTGCATCGATGTTTTTATCCAGTCATAATATATGTCGCATATAAATGAATTTTGAATGGATTAAAATTGATATAAAGAAAAGCTTGCAAATTTAATGACCGAATTGACATTGCAAAAAATAATTATTTTTGTTTAAAAATCTCAGTGAAATTTCATCAAAACTTAACAAAACCTTACAAATATATAAACGCAAGCGGTTTATATTTCATTTTAGTTAGGCAAATCATTTAACTTAAGATGTTACGACATTTTAATCAATTAATGTGATTTGTTGGTTGTTGTTGTTGTTTTTTCTTCTGTTATTTGCCTTCTGTTAATGTTGCTTGTTCTGTTTTGTATCTGTTTTTCTGTTGTCTTTATTGATTTCATAATTATTTTATTTTTACTTCTATTAATTTTATTAATTTTGTTTAATAGTTTTTTTAGATCTTTTCCAAACTCTGCATAATTTCGTTATACAATTGGATATATATCATTTTAAAGGTCAAATTTGTATACCTTTCTACTGGATTTCTTAACATAACAATAATTTTTGCATTTGGATTTAAATGATGAATGTAATCAGCGTTTGTATATAGAGGTTCTGAAAGGTTTCTGAATTCTGGCAAAATAGTCCAATAGTCATTGTCCCACAATGTTGACGCTGAACAATCACCTGCAAACATAATTTTGTTTAAATTGACAGCATTTACGTTATGTGCTTACTGTAAATATGAAAGTTTTCAATCCCTACAATATAATAGTGTATTTAATCAGACAAGCAGATACTTAAGTCTGAATGTATATCTTTAATTTGTTATATAGTTGACTGTATTTTGTACAGATCTGTAACCAAAAACAAAAAGAAAAGAAAACAACAAATGTAAAGACTCTAGATTCTATCAAGATCAATAAAACACAAATATTTAGTAAATAAACGGTCCCGATTACCATTGCTATCGGCAATACGGTGTATGCTTAATACTGATCGTCTTTTTAAGATTTTTTAATAACATTGTATGGAATTGAAGTTCAATTTATTGTTCGATATAAATATATAATTTATGTTCCCATGAAATAGCACTAAAAGGCCTGTATGACATATGCTGTTTGTTGATCTATCATAAAAACGGAAATGGTAGCCACAAATAAAATATTATAATATTAATACCACAGGATTGGAATTAATTTTCTGTTCAGTATATACATTTTCTCTCGTTTTTGACATTTTAAGGACTTCACTGGTATAATCGCTGAGAGACACCGGGGAAGATACGAAAACATAATAGATCTACAAACAACATATGTGAGATATCTAAACGTTTTAAAACCAGAATAAAATTCAGAATACCTTTGACATATTTATTACAAAATTTATTAAAACTTATCATTATGTCCCTTTAAAACGTAATAAGAATAACGTTTCTTTACACTGTATTGACGTTGTTACCAAGCGACGTTATTAACGTCATTATCTTGAAGATCCCTTTAACGAGTGAAACCGGTTGATAATTCTCTTCAATTATTATTACAGTTCTGTTAATAAATAATTGCAATTTATTTCCTCCCTGCTTATGTCCGTATTGTTTCAAACTTTACATTTTGGAATATAAATATTATATTATATGTCGCCACGTCCTGCAAGTTTTAGACAAGATGTTTTTATGTATATCCCTAAATAAAGTATGAATAAACAGCACACGCAGTTCCTTGCATTTTTGCTATGAAATCATTTCAAAGTTTTAATTTAAACATTTGCTGTTGGTTTTATTATCATTAATTTTCGACAATTAATATAATAGATACATATAATACTGATGCAACTGACTATTAATGCATAGCACGCATTTTAACTTTAATGTCGAATCTTTTGGGATAAACTGTTGATTTAACGTATTATTCGAATATATAGGAAGACCGAATGTTTCTATTCATTTGAACGGACATTTTTTCAAACAATGACGTCAATACCTAGATATTTATGCAAAGATAATTTTGAAACATTAGACCTAAGCTTACCGAATATAACGTTATGGAAACCTCCAGAATCATTCCTCAAAAACAACTCCTTCGTTGCATATTTAAAAACTTTAAGATAATGAGTCAAATTGGAATACCCTCCGTTTTCCCCATAGTCGTCTGAAAAAGACGTAAAATACAAACAAAACACATTTATAAAATCATATTTATCACACACCCGTGCCGATTTTGCGACTTCGTAAATATGGTATTGCACGGCCGTGCATATATTTTGACGTGACGTCATTAGCGTTATACAAACATAGCGTAAAGACGCGCTAAATGTTATCGTTATACTATAGGCGCATCAATGAAAAATGACTCTTATTTCACTTTAAAAGGTCTTTATTTTGGGTATGTGATAAATAGAATATTAAATTCGTGTAAGTTCATTACTGAATTTATTGCACTCGTTGAATAAAATAATATTATGCTCGCCAGAGGCTCGCATAATATAATTTTATTCAACTTGTGCAATAAATTCAGTATTGAACTTACACTCATTCAATATCCTCTATATATCTTTGCAAAAATGAGCAATTAACTGAAGTTTACTGCAACCAGACCGTTTGTTCAATCAGGCGCATACGTTGTCAATTGGTCTAGTTGATTCGCGTAATGGATAAATGATAAATAATCGTATTATAAATGTCAAGAATTAAAATAGTCTGTACATGATTTATTGATAAATCAGTAATGTAATGACCAATTGTTACCGCATAAAAATACAAATTCTATGTTTATCGAACGATTGAGAACATGTCAATAATTATTACTTAATGTTTGATTGAAAGGCTACCTTGAGTGAGGACTTTCTGGACACCGTGTTTATAAACTCGTAAATTGGTAAAATTGTGAGTTCTTTGTTCTATTTATGAGCATAAACATTTTTCGTTAGATTTCTTCTTTTTTTTGACAACATATCGTATTTATCAAATATATCCAAATAAGTGGCAATCGTTCGACTTTGTTCGTTGCCGACGTTTAATCATTTTGGTGGAAAATCGAAAACCTCTGTACGTGGTGAGCATGTTTCTAAACATAATTACTGTTTATGAAAAATTACAGGTACTGATCCAATCAGTCTTTTCTTATTTTAATGATTATCTGTCCTTATAATTCCAAACGCCGTTTAATACAAATAATACATCAAAGATGTATGAGATTATTTTCTGAACCGACTGTTTTCTGTTTTCAGTTTTACACCTAGACGTAGATGTATGACTCGCTTTACTTATATATTGTGAAGTATGTCTGTATAGTATTAAGATAAATATCTGATGCGAAAATAATTTATGGATTAAAGGAAAAGAATACTTCCGAAATGCTTGTATGAAATTAAAATGTCAATAAAAAGGGTGTGGCGCATGTACAGATTCATTGCTTAACAGATAAAACCAAACTAAAAATAGCAAAATAATATTTTGTTCCGGAACATTTTATTCTGTTTCCGTACAATATTCATGTGTGTAAAATAACCGAAACATTCTATGTTACATCTCTTTTTGAGAATCAGCCATGCAAAAAGAATGTCGAACGACACATATACCCCCTTTCTAGCCCTTGACTCACATAATTGGTAATTTTGTTACAGAAACTTGCCACAAATGGGTACATGGAAGGGTTCAATTATGAAAAAAAGAAGAAAAATAATGAAGATTTTGTGATGAACAGTTTCAAGATGAGATATTTAAAGCCCCTGTGACCTATAACTATGAACTAGCGACCAAAAATCAATAGGGGTCATCTAATAGGTATTACCAATCAATACTACAAATATGAAAACTTTGTGATAAATAGTTTTCAAGACAATAAGCGGAAACCAAACTGACATTCAAGAACCCTGTGAACTTTACCTTTGACTTACTCACCCCAAAATCAATAGGTTCACTTACTTGTGATGAAAAATCTTCAAGATAATATGCGGAAACCATTCTGCAGTTAAGGCCCTTGTGACCTTGACCTTTGATCTAGTGACCCCAAAAGCAATACGGATCATCTGTTGGTTATGGCCAATCACTTTGAAATATGAAGACTTTGTGATTATTATCTTTCAAGATAATGAGCTGAAACCATTATACCATCCAAAGACCCTGTGACCTTGACCTTTGATTTAGTGACCCCAAAATCAATAGGGATCATCTACTAGTTATGGCCTATCAATATGTGAAATATGTTGACTTTGTGATAAATAGTAACCAAGACAATACGCAAAAATCATATAATCATTCAAGGATTCTGTGACCTTGACGTTTAACCTAATGACCCCAATTTCAATAGAGGTCATCTACCACTTACGATCAATCAATATGTGAAATATAAAGACTTTGTGATGAGTACATTTCAAGATAATAAGAGGAAACCGTTCTGACATTTAAGACCCCTGTGACCTTGACCTTTGACCTAGTGACCCCAAAATCAATAGGGGTCATTTACTAGTTATTACCAATCACTATGTGTAATATGAATACTTTGTATTGAATACTTTTCAAGAAAATCACCGGAATCAATTTTCACATTTAAGGCCCCTGTGACCTTGTCTTTTGACCTAGTGACGCCAAAACCAAACTAAATTACCTACTAGTTATGACCAATCAATATGTGAAATATGACTTCTTTGTGATGAATACTTTTCAAGATAATCAGCGGAAACTATTTTTACATTTAAAGCCCGTTTGACCGTGACCTTTGACCTAGTGACAGTCAGTAGGGGTAATCTATTAGTTATGACCAATCAGAAGGTGAAATATTAAGACTTTGTGGTGAATACTTTTAAAGATAATCAGCGGAAACCATGTGGTCTACCGACAGACAGACCGACGAACCGACATACCGACAGACAGACAGACATTAGCAAAACAATATACCCCCTCTTCTTCGAAGGGGGCACAAAAATAGAACCAATGCTATTTTACTGTTGATAAATTCTATCTAAAAAAATCATTAGATATAGATTTCTTATTTAATTTTACACATGAAATACGGTGCTATATCAGTCAAATATATTTCATAGTTTTTAGAAAGAAATATAAATATGAAAGTGGGCGCAGTCAAAACTCATATTTATTTTAAGGGACTTCTTCTGCCATTTTGTTAGAAAAATCTGATAAGTACAGAACATTTTCTGTTAAATGTTGTTTTAAAAACTATCTAGAATGATAGAAAATGGTCTAAGAAAATAAATCCGAACACCAATATCTTTTATTCAGTCATTAACGCTGTACAGACGTTTAAATAGTTGTTTACGTGACGTCACAATGTAACGCTAAATATCGCGTGCAATACAAAAGAATAATTAAGATACTGCGCGCTGTACATTTGCAGTTGCGTAGCAAGCAAGGGGGTTTGTAACCATTTTACTTTGATAATTGAATTTAATGAATAGGTTATTTTTTTTCGTTTTTCCTGTAAAATGGTATATATTTTTACTCGTCCCGACTCGTGAAAATATGTGGCATTTTGTCATCTTCCGTGAAAGTATATAATCTATATTTCACTCAAACGAAAAAATACCCCCTTTATACCCTTAAAGTGTAATGAAAATATGCAATATAACGCAGAAGACCGTTTAAATGAAATTCAAAGAGCTAAAGAAGGATCAGGATACCCAAACATATTGTATGCGTTAACAATAGTCGTCACATATGTTTTTCACTTCCTCAGCACTTTCTTGGGCGTCTTATTCTTTGACCTCACATGAAAGTATCTTATGTCATGTAAAAATAAGAGAAGTCAGAGGAGATAGCTAGTTACAAACTAAATAAAGTAAAATAAATCTTATGGCAAAAAAACATATTAATTATTAACATACAATTTGTATTTACAGGTGTTTTCGTTGTTCCACTACAATTTATACTTGAATGGAAGTGAAACAGAAAATATCAACAAAAATGATATTGCAATTTAAATTGAAAATACTACAATTTAAAAAATTAAATAAACACCTTAGTTACAAAAATGATAAAAGAAGAAGTGTCATTCTTAGTTGAAAAGAAGATTTCTCTTGCTGAGATATGCTAGAGTTATTAACTTTGTCATTATGTAGATGATGACAAGGGACAATCATCAGAAGACTTAAGTGGCCGTCATAACTTACACACAAAATAGCCTTTAAAAAATAGTTAACCAGTAATCTTGGAACACAAGCCGATGATTGGTAGATAAATATGTCCAACTAAAAGTGGTATTTTTACTCTTTCAGCTCCATGCCATCATATGAGGTAATTGTTTCAAGAAAAAAAGAATTGAGACAAATGGCTGAAATTTGAAGATAGTTAAACACATTTAACCTACGTTTCTCACTTCTGACATTTTTAAGCACCCTTCCCTGAGATTTAAAAGATCACGGACCTGAGGAATCTCAACCTTCACAGGACTAAGTGTAATGGATGAAGACAAAAGGCCGCTTATCTTATCAGTTGCTGCTTGCCACGTTAAAGCTAAGCAACTCGAGTAATAGTTGAATACAAAACAATCTTGTTTAAACGTCTTGCATATTTTACACATATTATCTATTTAATTACACAAACAAGAGGTAAGTGTATGCATTTAAGTTTTCATGTGTTTACCGTGATTAATTTTTCTGATAAAATGCTATATTATGACTAGTTTAACACGAAACACTTGTTATATATGGGTCGCAATATATTTGTCATTTAGATCGATAGAAATTCATTTGATAATTAAAAATTCGAACTGTACTATCTTTGTTTACAAGTACTTAAAACTAATAACAGTGTACTGTATATACATATCAACGTTTTATAGGATGTGGGTCTAATAAATATCAGTTGACAACTTCATTTGATATTAAGTACATCCAATTAGATACATGTGTCATGTTTACGTTGCAAACATTAAGTCGATCACTTACAGTAATGTTTCCTGGTAAGCCAATGAGGTTCTTTTATCACCAATTTTGATATTTCCGGATGTTTGATCAAACGCCGGTGCATATCTGTAGTACCTGACTTCGGGGCTCCAATCAAATAAAAGTATGGCAGACATCGGATTGGAGGCTCTGAAGAGTTTTTATCGTCATACTTCCAACATGGATTTCTGTAGTTTTTCAAATTTTCAAACGGACCCTGAAATTGTTAATGGTTATTGATTATGGAATGTATCTCCATTGTAGCATTTTAGCTAAAATGTTTTAGAAATTCACAGCAAAATAGCTTTCAGAAAAACAACCCTTTTAAGTTAGGAACTTAGATTGGTAACAATTATGCGGTTTATAACGTAAGCATACTACTTATTTCAATAGGCATGCTGTGTCACTTTGTTTCATTTTATTTCTCAAAACATTTCATGTTCGATGTTCTGTTTCAAATAATAAATCAAGTAATTTGCGAATTACCTAATCCATCATTTGCTTATAGCATTTTCCTACTTTTATTTTATGTATGACAAACACTCTAATACGCTCTAAAACAAAAATCAAAATTCATGTTTGCCTTTTCCTAAGAATAAAAATTGATTCTCTTTTAGGGATAATACAGCTTAAAGTCTTGGGAATAAAAGTGTTAAGTTAATGGATAACCGACTATCCGAGCATCCCTGAGATCTTAAATAGTTTTAATGTCAGCTTAAACTAATTTATTGTTATCAAAAGTGATATATATCTTTCGTATATCCAATCTCCAAATTATATAGAGGATATTTGTTTGTGTGTGTGTAAGATGAAACTTTATTACATCGAGTGGGCTTTAAAAAACAGTATCCTCACGAGTGGCGTAGCCACGAGTGAGAATACTGTTTTTTAAGTTCAAGAGATGATATAAAATTACATCTAACACAACAAACAAACGCACTTTCTATCTATTGTTTTCTTAAAAACAAGTTAAAACGAAATGTTCTTAATATTAACGTTAATAAAAATATATAGAGGATATTTGTTTGTTTGTTTGTAAGATGAAACTTTATTTCATCAATTTGGCTTTAAAAAACAGTATTCTCACGAGTGGCGAGGTATCACATGGGGGAAATCTTAGAAAAGTTGTTTCGTCATTTAAAGGTGTGAACTTAAGTTTTGATAAATTTCACTGTGAAATTATAAAAATAATTTCACGGATAAATAAATAACTCACTGAAAAGCATAAAATAAACTTTTCTTAATCGCTAATACATGCATGCCTTTCTTTTAGTAACTTTCGTAAACAAATAAATATGGAAATATACAATAAGTATCTCCTCTGAAACATAGGTATTTATTGAACAACACTTTTAAGCATTTAGAACTTTATAGAGTTTATATAAAACATGCCCTAGGATGCACCTGCTTGTTATTTATAATGCTTCCAGTAATGAATTCCAAAAAAAAAATATATTTCTTAACTATGTGTTGAATATAATATTGAACGTAGCGTATATACACGCTACGTTCAATATTATATTCAACACATAGTTAAGCAATATTTTTTTTTTTTTTTTTGGGGGGGGGGGGAATATATATATTTCCAAATTATATTTTGCTTAACTAATGTTTGCATGTTTGCAGGAAACGATGTATTTTATTTATCTTGTAATAATTTACTTGTTTCATTAGATCTTCTACTATGAACTTCCCCGACGCTATCACCTGAAAGTCCCTTTCGTTTGGATGCTTTTTATACACTTTCTGTTCTTTCTGTTTTGCAGAAGTAACAGTTAAGTTACAATTTTGCGATATAAAAACTGAATTAGACGATTTTACTTTTATTCGTTTTTCATCACTGAATTTTGTTATAAAAATGCGCGATTTAAGATGGGAAGTATATTTCCTTTCTGAATCTAATGTTTTAATTTCTCTAACTGTTGTTTGTTTTTTTTCTGAAGTATGTAAGAAGTTTCTACTACGTGTAGTGTCAGGTATCCAAACATCCGTTGTTGATACACGGTGTGAATTCAGTTTTTTTCTGTCTTTGTCTACCTCGATATTGTTCAATGTGTGTTTGGGTTTAATGGTTTCTCCAGATATATATGACGAATCTCTGCTTGTAAAGTCAACGACGGTTTCCATCTGTAACACTGGCGGGTTGAATGAAAACTTGAATGAAACACATACCACAATGGCAACAAATATACCACCTCTGGCGAGCTTTCGTGTAAGAACCTGTAAGAGATTGCATTCGATTGGAAGAACATAATGCTAGTCTTGCGAGCGTTCCTTAGCTAGATGAATGCTTAGTCTGTACTTCGCAATTAACAAAGTGGACGGTTGAGCACCATTAAATGTTGTTGTTGTGCAGAAGAGACATTTTTGTACGAAAAGAAAATTGAACACATATGAATTGTTTCGCTACAATTATTGAATGAACAATTGAAAACGTTTATGGCATGTTTGTGCATGCTACACATTTCCTTATTAAAGCTTGAAACTGAATGGTATGGACTCTTTATAGATTAAACTATTCACTGAGTGTAATTTAGTTTGATGAATAGAGTTTCTTTTGATTAATATAATAATTGAAATTATATATTGCATTCAAAATCTAAATGAAAAGTAGAGAAAAAATTTTTTTTGGGGAAATTTTTTTTTCCGGGGGGGGGGAATTTAAAACTATTCCGAAATGAAATTTTCGTAGCCCCAAAAACTAAAAAATTATTCAACGGTATGGGACAGAGACAAAGCTGTGCATGTATAACACCTACACTTGGACACACTTTCCGATTTTGTATGGTAGTCGTGACTTAATTAGCACGACTCTTGCATATATATTTCTTTTTTCACATTCAAGATTAAGTTTTCTCTGCCTTGAAACATATTTCCGTATGTTCACTGGTGTCTTGCCGGTCTCCTTCTATTTTCAGCCAATATACCCATTTGCAGAGAAGTATTTCAAATTGTATAAAGAGATGAACAAAAAATCAAGAGAGGATATTCAAGTTCTTTCAAACAGGATTAATTTCCTTGAAATAAATGTATTAAATTTTTTTTACTCATTGGCACCATTCCACCCTGATTTTATTTTTTGAATAAAACCTTTAAATTGGAGGAATTTTTTTTTGTTTTATGCAAAAAATGAAACCCATAAGTTTTGGGTGGAATTTGGGGTTTTTTTGTTTTGTAAAAAAAAGCAAATTTAAATTCATCTTAATGGGTAAAAATTTAAAAATTGTTAAAAGCGGACAAGTAAACTGAAGGAATCTGAAAACCCCGAGCTTTAAACCGTTCCTTCCCTTTAGCAAGAAACCTTAATTCATTTGCTTTAGGAATTGGTTGGTTCTAGGAAACAGATTCAAAGAGTGTTCCAATACGGCTTAATAGCGTTCCAACACAATTTAAATAAAATTAATTCGTGTAAACTAAAAATTATCCCATATTCACATAATTAGAATGATACACGAGGGTTTTTGGTTATTTTGTCCCATATAAATTCATATTTTATCAAAGGTTTTATGTTTTTTTTATGATTAAAAGGTGCCATAATAAAGTGATATTAAGGAGATCGTTAACTGTGTGTTGCTTTTTTGTTGTTTGTTTTTTCTTATACTGTTGGACGGCCATATTAAGTACTGGAGACTTACGCAAAGTTGATAATTTATGTATCACTTTTGAATAGTGTAAAGTCGGAAACTTCATTTTTGCATAATTTCTGTACCTGGGGGGGGAAATTTAAATAATTTTCTAAACAACTTGTAATCAGCTTCTTAAAAACCTGATAGACGAACTCACTGGCTTTTCAAAATGTATATAATATTCAGCCCTTGCGTTAAAAACTAAAAAATTGTAATAAAAAATAGTAATGTTTTAGTATTGCAGCAGCCTTTGGTCAGGGCTAATTTTCCATGAACAATTTGAAAATTTTAAGTAAGTAAGATAACCAAAAGGATACAATTTGCGCAAATTATTAATGGGCACTAACATTCCATAAAGACTCAAAATATGAAGTTTCCAAAATAACGGCGAAAATAAGGCAAATTTTTTTCCCAACAAACAGGTAGGGAAATTTTTTTACTTTTTTTATTACTGTTTTAACATTGCCGGCGTTTATCGTACACAACTTGTCCCAATTTTATTACTTTGTTAGTTACATGTTTTTTTTACTCATTTGTTTGCTAAACAGGGTGTGGAAAAAATAGGTAGTAGCTAAACGCTTAAAACATTCTGAAGAAGTTGTTTTTATTTTCTTTCTCATCTAATTTGATCTTTGAAACACAGTAAGTAGAGGTTTAATAACATACTTTTACTAGTTCTACTCTAAAACAAACAAAATATACAGAAACCAAACTAAAGAATGATTACGGTTATACAGTGGTTACATCTGCAAACTGGGTTCCAAAAGTAATATTCTTATTATGACTATCCACTTGAAAAAGCCTTCTAACTTAAATATTTTCTACAATATAAAATAAGTAGATATTAATAAAAAATCATTTCAGCCAGAATAAGGTAACAATAATTATATCCGTAAGTCAATTTTCTTATAATCACAATGTACTTGTCATAGCCTTTTATTTGTTGCATTTTGGTAAAAAAAAACAAAAAAAAACAAAACAATAAACAATAAATTATTCAATTTCTTTTGAACTTCAGGTTGATATATATTATGTTTGAGAATGAATGGCACGGTGTAATAAAAAAAATGTATAGAGTTTTCGCTAAAACATATTCATAATTGTATAATATTAAACAAATTTCATAATTGCGTTTATGTCTTGCGTTATTGATCGTAAATGTATTAAAACTTAAATTTATTCAAAAACAAGATCACTGTTTTGTTATTAATTATAATAAAATCCGAAACAAATTGATCCATCGGTTGCATAAATCGCAACATAATAACATCAAATTTGCCAACTCTGTTTGATTGAGTCTTTACATGAGGGATAATTAATACGAGCAATAAATCTCACGTCCTCTAGCACCGGATTGAGCGGTTCTCAATTCTCAACAATTAATAGTGCTGGCAGCAATGATATCAAATGACAAGCAAATATAACAACACTGAAGTGAAGAACGGGTAACTTTTTACAGCTACCGTATGACACCTGCTTTTGTGACGTATAAAATCTGGAAATATTATTCACAACAACATTCCATGGACATTGTAAGACATTAAAATAGTGTCAAGATTATATATCAATTATTTTCAAGTGGAAACAGATCGTTACTATACGGTATATGTCATTTTTTACTTCAAGTAAGGGTAACGAGGTATAACGATACATACATATACGCTTAAATTATTCATAAAGTATAATCATCAATCTATCATTTACTGAAATTGTAAAAAAGATATGTGACCAGTTGGCCTCAGCACATATATAAGTATACTATTTGCCAACCACACTGGCCCCAAAACAACAAAGTCCCGCTGTAATTGACTTTGTATATTTCTTAAGCCTTGTAAATCAAACAAATACAACGTATTATTATATAACAACATTATAATACATACATATATGAGTTTAGACGCATATAACCATATTATATTATAAATTCACATTATGGTCAAGTCAGCCAGCCTAGATATATCTTTAGTCCATACTTGAAATAATGAATAAACATATAAACAACCTTAAAAACCTTAACCTTAAATGAAATTACACAAACAACACTTATATTTACATACCAATTGTTGATCAGGTGCTGCTATATATAAACAATACACCTCTGTCACTCTCTGTTTCGTACGGTGCTCTACAACTGTAAATGGTTAAATGGCAGTTGATAATATAAGATGGTAAATACTGATGGTATAAATTACCAAATTATTTAAAATATAAGCTGCCATCTTGATTACATCGATATGTCCAGTAAACATTTTTATACAAATACTGAATTAATACAGATAAGGAATTGCTCATTTGTGACTCCAAAAAATATGAATCAATAATAATAGATAAGACCAACCAACCTCCACCTTTAATTTCCAAGAAACACCAAGATATCGAAAATCAATAATAAAGTAAAATTCAGCAAAGTACACTTTTGACTGCTCAGTAACAAGACGTGTGCAAGTCAACACTATATCACATGACCACAATAATTGTTAAAAAACAGCGAGAAATAAAATGCTTGACTAATCATTCAAATTAACAATAAATGGGAGAAAATGAATTTCTCTGTAGAAATAAAATGCTTAAAATGTTAAATAAACGAAAAGGACAAAAACACGAACTGTTTACAGATATATTAAAGTCATTTTTGAAAACCTTTCTGTAAATAAATTTAAAATTGACAAAAGACAGTTGGACAAATCGGCTTATATACATTTTTGGCTATTCGTACATTAGACAGTATATGTAAATAGGAATGCAGAATTGTTTAAGGCATAATGAGGTAACAATAATGTTCTCAATGTATTAGTCTCTATTAGCAATAACTTTGCTAAACAATCAACAATCGACATTCAATGTCTAGTGAGACAATCAACATTCAGCTCAACATTCGATCTAAAATAACAATCAAACAATTCTCAAAGTGAATGATGAGCCAGACAATCAACAATCAGCTGATATTCGATAATTACTTATGTCGAGCTAGACAATCGACATTCAGCTCAACATTCGACCTGTAATACTTATCAAAGTATTCTTAAAATGAATGTTTAGCTAGACAATCAACAATCAGCTTCACATTCGAAAATTTCTTATGTCGAGCTAGACAATCGACATTTGGCTCAACATTCGATCTAAAATAAAAATCAAATAATTCTCAAAGTGAATGTCGAGCTAGACAATCAACAATCAGCTAGACATTCGAAAATTTCTTATGTCGAGCTAGACATTCGACATTCAGCTCAACATTCGACCTGTAATAATTATCAAACAATTCTCAAAGTGAATGTTGAGCTAGACAATCAACAATCAGCTAGACATTCGATAATTTCTTATGTCGAGCTAGGCAATCGACATTCAACTCAATATTCGACCTGTAATACTTATCAAAGTATTCTTAAAATGAATGTTTAGCTAGACAATCAACAATCAGCTATACATTCGATAATTTCTTATGTCGAGCTAGACATTATTATTATAGATCGAATGTTGAGCTGATTGTTGATTGTCTAGCTCAACATATACATTAAGGATACTTTGATCATTATTACAGGTCGAATGTTGAGCTGAATGTCGATTGTCTAGCTATACCTTTCAATAATATAAAAATGTAAATCTTAACAAATTATTATTTATTTCAGTTTCAATTATTTCAAAAACTATCTCATCACAATTTCACAGCAACGAATGAATACCTTCAATATACAATAGTGAAGATGAATAGGTTGTTTTGTTAAGACTGTTTTACTAGGTGAGTTAACAATAGAATCTCTAACAGTGTGCCATCACTAAAAATAAAGTGATAATTCTCACCAAAAAAAATCAAAATAATTATCCTCCATTAATCTGATAGTATGAAATCAAATTCAGATAATAATATATACGTATCATATGTGACAATCGCATACAATTACATAGGAAACATTCACATAGCAACGCAATATTTTTCACGTGCGCACAAATACTGTGCGTTTAGTATAATAATTAAGTGACGAGGTGGTCAATTCCACTATCCAGGTGTAAAACAGCTATCATATTGTGTTTATTATATTCAAACAGGCTAGCTATATAAGTTAAATTATCAACAAATTTACCATTTCTCAGCGTAATGCAGTAGGTAAGGTTGTGATAAATATCAATACAAGACAGCTAGATTCGGATTGCACATTTTTCCCAAAAATATTGCTTTATAATTATCAATCAAGTAAGAAAATGTTGTATTATATATTGTAAACATTATAAATATTGTGCTATTTTCTACTAACCTCTCATTTTGTTTTAAATGTAGCTATATTATGCCCTATTTAATAATTTGGTGCAAACTTATACGGTATGCATGATAATGTGCACAGACTGTTTCAACTATAGTTTAGTTTGCACAAAATACTCTTGCACTGCAAAAGTACTATGACTACTACATACTACACACTATACAGTGTAAAATCATTATCATCCGTATATGATTATCTTAATTATTAAATACCATAACAAAACTGCCTTTATATCTCAATTCATTTTCCTAATGTAAAATTAAAAAAAAATATATGGAAATAAAAACGCAAAAAAGTAAGAAAACTTGTGAGGCTCGAACTCGTGATAAAACTTAATGTGTATGACATTCTAATGACTTTACTAACTTTGCCATCAAGACATTTCAAATTCTGTTTCTAATCTTACATTATATTCGCTTGTGAAAACCCTGTTATACCTTTTCAGACAAATGTTGTTAACTTTAGTGTACATATACAATAGAAAATGTAACGTCACTCTCACATCATCAAAGCGAGCGGCGTACTTATCGATTACGCACGTAGTAAATAAAAAAAAATACTATCATTATCATATATTAAAGTGATCAAACTGAAAGAAATACACGTCTTTTTGATACAGTAATATGTTTTAGAAAAGAAAACTAATTCAATAAAATAAAGTGGCATGCACAGTGCATCTATATCAAACCATTGTGTGCGTTCGAGTTGTTTTTTTATATTTTTCACATTTGATTTTTGAATATTAAAAGCAAGGATGTTTTAGCATTTTCAAATGCGCAGCACAATGCTTAAATGCCATAATTGACGTCATTGTTGAAGTGTGACATCATTCCACGTAAGAATTGATTCTAATAACATATAAAAGAGAACCAATGTATTTATAATAACCCCATTTATTCATATCAAAATAAATGCGTGTAATTAAGGAAATTTGACTTGGGCTTTGTCTGAAGAAAGAATAAAACACATGCTGTCAGTACGGATGGGAATATATGAGTCTGGGTAACTCTTCTTTACAGACAGTACCTCCGTGTAATACACCCATTGACAGTCTCTATATGAACTACACAAGTTGTTTCCCTTATCTTCGAGGAAATTTTATATCTCTAATGCTAAATGAATGCAAATTTAGCCATTTTTAAACCGCTAGTTTGATGTGATTTAATGTCCGATTTTAAAATTTACTACATCAATGAAAAGCTTGTGATCTTAGCTTCGTCTCGGTATACATGTATATTTTAACAAATTATTTGACACTGAAGGTATTTAAATTTACAGTTCAACCTACCAATTGTCAGGCCATTTTACATGCGTTTTATACTGAGCGAGATACGCAATTGGTTATCTTTACTCGCAATTTTTCTGCTAGTTCGGAAACTGCCAATCCGTGTATTGTCTTATTTTATTCACAAAATACAACAATGTATATACGTGAACATACATCTATATAACTTGCTACCATACTTTGCTTCATCTATAATTGCTGTAAAGAGGGCACAAATGCATTTCTAGAAAATTTAAACACGCTGTACACTGTCCTAAAAAAATCATAATATAACTTATATATATAATTAATATACAGAGCACATTGGAAATATTTCATAAGTGATCACATGTGCGAGAGTGTTTATACTGTAGAAACGTGTCCACTTTTATAAGTGATCACATGTGCGAGAGTGTTTATACTGTAGAAACGTGTCCACTTTTATGTGCATGTACGTATATTATGTATTTTTGTGTGTTCGTGCGTGAGTTCGTGTGTTACAATATCGCTTTATGTGAAATTTAAGTCAAAATTTGGAAAGTCGAAAATTTTGTGATGTACAAAGGCTCAATAAAGTTTTTCAAGCGTTTAAGTTTATGTATAACGAAATATTAAATAAATGTTTCGTCAAACAGACGCTTGTTCTAATGTGATATCACCTTATGCGTAATGTTTATTTTAAAAACTAAACAAAGAGTTTTGATTATAATAAGAAAAAATATTCAAATTTTAATATGTCCAATAAAAAATCCAATGTGAATGTTGAAAACACAGTTCATGTATATGCAATTTAAAATCTGGGTAATCTTGAACAACGTAGATAAATAACCAAGAATATCGAATGAAAACCAATAATTGTCTGTCCTGAATTGCGAGTAAATTCGATCTTGCTAATGCTAAAACAATACAAACAAAACCTTTTTAAAACTTCTAGTTCGTTGCGATATTTTATATTCACGAGTTTTAACATTCTTACACCGACAACAGGTTTGTGATCTGAGCTTAGTATCAATGTAGAAATAAACATATCTTTTTGACACCAAGGGTAAGTGAATTAACAGTTAACTGTTAAACTTACCAATTGTCGGCTATATTACATGCAATTATACAGATATATCTGTCATTCTTTGTATCAATGTAAATAATACATTCTGACAACTATTTTCAAGTGTTTGATTCATCTTATTGTATAATGATTTAAATGAAAAAATAAATATTTGTTTGCTATTTTTGTTTCAGATTTTTATTCATTTAAGAGAAGGTTAATATAAATAAGAAATATAACAGCATGTGTACAGAAACTTTAAAAAAAAAGTGAATATAAATTAAATGAGCGGAGTCTCTAAATTGTTTGCATCAAATAATAGGAATGAATGAATGATTAATTGTTTGATTGGTTGAGTGAATGGATGAATGAATTAATGAATGAATGAAATAATGTGAATGAATGAATGAATGAATTAATGCGATATCGATGATTGTTGTTGTTTTTTACATATGCAAGTACATGTATTAAATTATTTATAGGATATATATAAATGTAAAATTTAAATACTGCGTGTGGACAATCCCGATTTCATCTTCGTGATTTCACAATTTTACCTTTTACGATTTCAACTTCACAGATCCACGATTTTAATATAATTAATTTATGTTTTGAACATCACAATTTTAACTTTTTCATTTTCTCATGTTTGGC